AACAGATAAAAAGTTGTCAGGACTTAAGGCCTCTCTGTGTACGAGAACTAGCATGAGTATAGGTCCATAAAAATATTTTCCTTTCCCTATAGAAGTAGCAGTTTTGTAGTTGATTGATCACTTTTTTTTTTTCTTAAATGTTGCATGTTTCTTCTGGCACAGTTAAATACACATGAAAGCATTCATAACTTGATGGTAATTCAGCCTTAAAACTGGCTAATGGCTTGTGCAGACTTCAAGATTATTGAGAATGCTTTACTTGTTCGTATGAAATTTCTTCATCCTAAGAGGTTTCCAAGTAACACTAATATGGAGCAGTAACTTCATAAAAATAGAAAGACAAATCATTCCTGTTTCATCCCTCTCATGGAAGGAAGCAGGAAAACATTAATTATTGATAGTGAATAAATAACTTTTTCCTTCCTTTTTTGTCTATATGATTCAAAGGTTTATCCTAATTTCCTTAATTTTTGCATCTTTTAGAATTTACAGCATAACTCAGGGCACTTTCTTAATAATAAATCCTGTTTGTCTAAATATATGCAATGTAGTAATTCTACGAATACACTGTTAGAAGATAAACAATATTATTCTGTTCTGAACTCAATTTTCTGGGTCCTACATTGTTCCTCATCTCCACTCTCTGCCATAACCTGCTGACATTATATCAGCAATGTTTGCTTTAAAAAATGTTTGTTTGACTAAAACCTAATAGGTAAAAAAGCCCCAACATTTTCAACTCCAACTTTAACAAATATTCAAAGAACATGTGGATGTAAACTGATGGACAAATTGAGACAGAGGCCACAGTCACTAGAAGAAATTAAAAGGATATGTTACTGATTGTATAAAAGAACAAATCTCCTTTTGGTAATTCCTATTTCTGGATTGTGTGTGCCACTGGTTGTAATTACTAATGCAGCAAAGAGGCTTTCTACATCTTCCTGTACCTACAAATCTGGGTGAATCTATTTTATCCTCTGGCCATCACTACTACTTGCATAAACAAGATGACAGAAATACAGATCAAAAAATCATCTGTTGGTGGGAGATGTTCTTGCTATGTTGGCACCACCTTCACACCTGCCACAGGGAGGACTTTTTTGCTATTCCATAAGGGAACAGAATCTGTGCTTCCCAAGAGAGACACATACTTCTTGGCTGAGAACTACTGTTAGTGAGGACACACAATACTAATAATAATAAAAAAAGATCCCCCAAACCGACATTAATGAGGTTGAATATATATATATAACTGCTATTAAAAGAAGCTGGTTCCAGGGTTATCCTAGAATAATCTACTATCTCTCTGCTTGTGCTCCTTAATCAGGTCTCCTAGTGCTGTTTTAATTAGAGAGCAATGCTATTAAGCCCAGAATAATGAAACCAAATAATTCAGTAATTGTAGGAGAGTGACAGGTTTATCTGCATTCCTCTTTTAAATTATACTACAAATATATTCTCAACATTCAAGCTGCCATATTGAATTAGTATTTTGACTTCTCATTTAATTTCTCGTGCACATCCTGAAAATGGCAATTTTTAAGGAAGCAAAAAAATAAAGTCAACTTTTTGAAACACATACTTCTTGCAGCTCTAATACCTAAAAACTAAAAATGAGACTGAAAATAGAAAGGTGAAGGAATAGAAGAATAAAAGAGAAACATTTTCAAGTGGCATTGTCTGTTTTCCAAGTAAAATAAAAATGAGGGTGAAGTAAAAAATTGCTAATGAAAACTTTTCCCATCCTGTCATGTAGCAGTTAGCTGCCATTTGTTGTGTTTCAGTGATCTGAACAGCTATAGCTGTTTTTTTCCTGTTCAGTGACAATATAAAACACAAAGCCTCCGTTTGCTGCCTTTTAGAGGGTTGATTATAAACTATTGTAAGGATTCATAATTTTCAGGAATATTCCTAATTAGTATCTGTCCATGTGTATTAACAAGAAATGAGGTGCTATTCCTTAAGGGGAAACACCTCTATGAATACAAATAACTATATAAATTAAGACAGTTAAAGGAAGCAGACTTCTAAACTTTTTAGCTATTATCCATTTTTAAATGGAAGTCCAAGAACAATAGTCTTATGCTAGAGCATTATATTATAACGTGTGTACCTGCCACTCTCAAGATTTTTATGAAAGTAACACAGCACCTGCTACGAGAATTGTTCCCACACTTGGAGGAAACAGCAAAAACATTGCCTGAACAATTCACCCGAGAAGAATGTTATTGAGCCATACATTTTAAAAGAACCAGACATTTTAAAACACACCTGTGCTGGCCTTGGGAAACAGCTCATGAGAAACTGCACTTTTGCTAGCAGCTAAAGTACTTTCTCCAAAGACATGATTTAATGGGAAGTCTGAGCTGTTCTCACAGGGGCTCCTGCTTTACTTGGGTTTGACTCTTTGGAAAGTGAAGATTCATGGGCTTTACTGCCTCTGTGTAAATCAGGACTATCTCCTTTGAAGTCAGCAGATGTAAAAATCTAGGTGAATAAAGGAGGATCAAGGCCTGGGGCTCTCATCCCTGCCCTGCTGCTTTTATTCAGGTTAGGATTTCAAATATGTAATTGCAATATTATTTTTCCTGTCATTTGGGAATGTGGGTTGAGGCTGAGCTGGAACAAAAGGATGAATAGGTGCAGGCTTGCTTTGCAGAGCTGCAGCATGGTGCCAAGGCAGGCAGTGGTGGCGGGTTTTCAGCTGCCTGTCACTCTGAGTGATCTCTCTCAGCACTGCTCCAGAACTCCCTCTTTTGGTACTCCATTCCTCTCTCTGGCAGCAGTAATAATGCCACTGTCGATCACATTGTAGTAGACTTCATAACTTCCTAATATATTGTTGCACTTCTAAATCAGAACTGCCTCAACAGTGATGGTTTTCTAGCCCATATCTTTCCCATATCACCCTTGTGCAATATATGTGTCCCTCACCTTTAACTGATATCATGATCTGTGCTGGAGTTCCTCACTCTAAGCAGGATGAATCCCACTGGGAAAGTTACACACTCGGCCAACATCTTAAGCATCAGTCCTCACGTTGGAGGTGAGGTTGTAAAGGTTATGATTGCAGATGAGGTGTTCAGTGACCTGCCAGAGGCACATGATATGGCAGGGTTTGATAAAATTAGCAACATAATGAATGATTGTATTATTTACAGTCTCATTAACCGGGCCTGCACTTGAATCAGAAAACCAATTTAAAAAATTAAAGAAACATAATATTCCACTCAAAAAGTGGTGTTAATGCAAAAGCCTACCTCAGAAGAAAACACTTGCACCTGCACTGTTCAACTCCCACATGAATGACAAATTAGTCTGTTCTGGCACAGAGATTTGATTTATGTACACAGATGCCCTAAACATCACAGTCCAAACCAAGAGTCTAGTCTACACTGAAAGCATTGTTAACATCATTGCTCTTTAGTCTCTTAAATTTTCAAATGAAAATCGAAAAAGTTAAAATGTAAAGAGGTTTTCTTTCATTTCAGAAAGCACATTAAATACAAAGAGCTCAACATCAGCACTTGGAAGGGAGCAGGACTTTCCTCAATGTGAAGACAAAAACATTGTGCTCTTTTCTATATGGGCAACCAACTCAGTAAGACAGGAAAATTCTGCATTTTTCATCCCTCTATCGCAAGTCACACTTCCACTATTACAAAGATCAGTATGAGAAAATACATCAGAAATGATGTAACAATTAAACTCCCAGCACATCACTCCATAAGCGACTTGTGCATGTTTTTGTTTATCACCAGCTTCCCAAAGCTGCCCCACTGAAGGTCAGGCCACGTGTGCCCTGGCCACTTACTGAGGTGCTGGTGTGTGCTTCCTGTCCAGGTCCAGCACTTCTGCACTCCTAAACCACAAACTAAAACAGCATTTCCAACTAAAATGAATACCCTCAGTTTTGGTGACACAGATGAGAGCCACTAGCAATCCTCACTTTGTTTAGGTGCACAGGCTTCTCTGAAAATTGTGCTGCTGCAACTAAAAACGGAATCTGCTAATTACTAGACATTTGTTTTATGTGAATAATTAGAAAAGAATTATTTACTGTGTTATTGAATAATATTTTAATGGAATCTCCCACAGTCCTTCATGGTGCTATAAAAGCTGGCCATCTCAAAATTAACTGGTTAATGAGCTGACATTTTAATTTGTGCTCTCAATAGTGTCCTGTAGCGTTTTCTAACATGTAAAGAATATAGTGTTTGCAATTAAGACACAGAACTAAAACAGATGATGCACACTGCTGTTTAGTGACCTACTATTGCTAAAATAATGAAGAATGTGTTTTCACCTGCACTTGCAGATTTCCTGCTTTTCACAATGTACCCAGACCTGAGAGACTTTTATGCTTCCTACCCTTGGGACCCTCTGCTCACGGAGAGTCTCTTTGTTGAGCAATTGAAAAATGGGATATCCAAAACCGATAAAAAATAAAATAATGGCAGAAAAAGCAGCACCCTTATTGCTCTCTGAAAGCCAACAATGGGAAAATAGGCTGGACACAGAATTATTTTTTTCTCTATTAGGTGTACATTAACACATAAAAGTAAAACACGTGATAAATCTTATCTGGTGTCAGAGAAAAATAGTCCCCACCCTTCCATTTCCTCAAGCTCAACACTACTCTGACCTGCAACTATCTTCCAAAGAGATTGTGTTATTTTTTAATTCTGCTGAACCCTAAATTGGGTTTTAAGCACACTTTTGAAACAATCATTATACCAACACAGGCTTTATCTACCACTTTCATTGCTTACATCTCAGCAGATTATTCTTCAAAAATCTGCTTTTGTTAAACACAGCATTATACAATGTTACCTCATTCCTAGTCACAAAACTTTCAAGAAAAAGGGAAAAATCTTCATCTAGGACTGCATGCTACATTAAAGTACCATGTTTTATTTTTTATACAAGGATTACTTGTTCCCCCAAATTTCAATTAATTACTATGGACCATGCAAAATGCCACAGACCACAGATACTACATTTTTAAATTGAAGTTTTTATTGATTAATCAGACATTGAATCAAGTATTGTAAAATAAACAGATTTTGTTTGTTAAAAAATAACCAGAAGAATACTGTTCATAGCAAACTTGTTTCCTCATTGTCATACAGAATACGAAATTGTCCAAGAAACAAGCAAAAAAGGAACACCTGACTAATTGCTGTCACTTTGTATGTGTATATACATATGGGTGTGTATACACAAATTACACATTATATTTGTGCATATGCTGGTGCGTGTATACCCATACATATGTGTACATATATACACAAACATATATGCACAAAGAGTACTGACTGAGTTAATAGCACATTGGAGAAATGTGGCTTAGCTCCAAATGAAGTATTCTGTGTTAAAATAAAGATGATACAGCAAGGTCTGTAGATAACAGACCATTCCTTTTTCCATTGGCCAAAACCACAATCTGTCTTTAGACTCATGCTCTATCTTTACAATGAAAATACGTGAAATCATTTGGGACTTCTCCAAATTCATGGTATTATTTCCATCCAGCTCAATCTCTGCCAACATTGTATAACCAAACACTGAGCAGTGTTTTCAGTTTCTCCACTACTGAAATCAGCTTCTAGATCTAATACTTCTCACAAAAGAGAAGATACAGAGCCTTGCTCCATGTACTTTGGTAATTCACTCTTTCCTTTTAGGCAGAAACTTGGCAATAACCCTAGAATAAAAGTCCTTTCTTCATGCATCCTTTTATCACTGCTTTGCATCAGACATCTTCTGTCAAATCCTATTCAAATTTTTCATACCCTCTCAGCTAACTACCAAACATCCCAGGCCAGATCATCTGGGCATTGTATATCAGATTGTACCAGTAACATTGTACTCAATTTTAAAATGTAATGATTGGAGACTGATTTACTTTTTCATTTTTGAGAATATGTGCTTCTTGATTATGAATGACGCTATGATAAACACTGAGGATCTCTATATGTACACACTTTGCCTTTTTATGTCTACTTGGGAAAGATCAGTGGCTCCTACATGTGAGCTATGGGATATTGCCCAGCTGAAAGCCATGGCATCAACAATGTACTGCCAGATTTTTCTCCATTTAATTCAGCAGTTAGCAGGGCATGTAAAGGGATATCAAAGAAGCATGGAAAGGCATTTATTTTCTATTAAAAAAAACCCAAACAAACAAATGGGCATGTATGTATTCTCCTCATCTTGTTCATAAATATTTTATATAATCATAAGGCAAACTGTAGTAGAGCTTTGTACCTGGAGAATCAGTATTTAAAAAATCCGAAGCTGAGCTTGGGACCATTTTATTTTGGACCCATTACTGAACAAAGTGCATTAAGGCATCTTTTTCAAAAGACACCTAAAGCATGGTTATAAATTACTGAGCAAATCTTTAAAGCTGATATTCAATTTATGTTTTCTCTACACAGGCAGATTTTCACCACTTGCATAGTAACAACAAAACACTGTAGGAAAACCATTCTTTTAAAGTTGTCATATTCCTCAAGCATCTCCCCAAATGATCATTTATACATAAGCATTGCAATAATTACGAAAAGCTTCTATCTGTAAAGGGAAAGAGAAAAAAAATGCACCTGATTCAGCTCTGAGATAAAGTACATACAACCTCTATTGCCTTCACTGAAGTTCTTCTACCAACACCAGGATGAACATAGGGTTTCCTTTTGCAATTTCTACTGCTGTTGAGAGCTTACTCTTTCTTTTCATTCACAAAGTGAACTGTGCTTTCCCAAACAACCTGGGACAATGCTAATTATGAGCAAACTCCAGCTGCAGTGTTCCTCCATACAGTACATGTAAAACATATTTCCTTGCTTTGTGATAGACACTACACAGTGTATGACAATGAAACATTTGTATTTAATTTAAAACCAATGGTAAAGTGGCACGTCTCACTTCTGAGTTGTTGGCTGGGCTTGCTATGTTGAACCTTGTAAAATCAGCAATAAGCATTCACATGTCTACCATCAGAACCGTGACATCTTCTATTACAATCAATCCTTAAATGATGCCGTGTTTTATCAAATTAGTCTACAGTCAGACCTTGGATTGGCTGTTCTCCTCCAGTGTTGCTGATTCTCAGAGATGGTGTTGGTCTTCCACATCCTCAGTGATTCTATAATGTTTCCCAAAGACAAAAGCGAAGCACTGGTAGATGGGAATATTGCCACCAATAAAATAAATCACCAGATGATTTATCCACTCACATTTCTAGGATATATTCCACATGTTTTTTATGAACTGAGAGAGAACTGCCCTGTGCTTTATTCTTTTGTTGTGTTGGTGAGCTCCACTTCCTTGCTTGCTTATTTTTGTTCTTTTGTTATGCATCCTCCCATGTGCAAAGTAGAAACTGGGAGATCTTGCACTCAACAAGGCTGATAATGAGACCACTAGCGTTGGTACAAGTAAAACCTGCAGTATACTGACTTGTCCACTGTGCAGTTTTCATCTTTCCAATTTCCTGCTATTATCCACTGTAAAATAAAATTATTCAAAAGGCTGATGAAACTTTAATTAACAGGACCACTAATGTGCAAACCCCCCCCAAAACAACAAGAAGTCATTTCCCAGGTGTCCATACTAGGCTTTCACTTTTCACTTTTTTTTTCTATTTTTATAAATAATTTATAAATCTTCCTGTAAGAGATGAAATACAAAACCAATCAAACAAAACCAACTGAAAAAAAAAAAGTTCTAAGTTATTATTAAAGCCACTTCCTGTCCTTCAGCACAAAATACACAGGAAGAGATTCTCTCTCCTCATCAGTTTTGCCCAAATTCGGCAGCCTTGTCTGGAATGCCACTTGGATTTGCCAGCTCCGGGTAAGCTCCTGGTGGCACTGCATGGCTGCCCAGGGAAGGTGTGTCCCTGGGAGGATGATGTGTCCCTGGGAAGATGTGCTGTCCTACCTTTTGGCTTTTAGCAGTCACGCCAGCTGCTCGGAGGAGTCTAGGTGGTCAGGGATGGGCAAGCCAGTTATAATGGTCAAACATTTATTCCACACCGTGAACGTGGGGCACACTGGCTGGCCAAATGTAATGTCAAAAGTGTAAAGGTGTAGGGAGTTCAAAGCATCATAAAAGGCAAGGGAACCGTTGTCGTAGTCCAGCAGAATCCCGACGCGCCGCAGGTGAGGCGCGGGCTCGATGGGGATTTCTTTGCTGTTGTGCCGCACCACCCACGTGTTGTTGCAGCGGCAAAGCACCCAGGAGGCAGAATTCTTTCCAATCCACTCGTGCTTCGGTGCTGACTTGTAGGAAATACCAATAGCATACCTGCAAAATAAAAGAACCTCTCAAGGAAACAAATGCTTCCTGCCATTTTGTCTCTCAGTGAAGTCAAATGTAAGCCCAGAGGACTCGCTGGAATGCTCCCGCCTCTTACTGCTGTGAGTTAAGCTGTAATTAAATGATGTTTCACCACAACATCTGCACAGGTTTAATTAATGGTTTTCCCTGACTCTCTTTTTGGTCTGAGAGGTCAGGGAAACTCATAGTATTATTTCTAGTTTGGCAACTATGGCAATTTTTTTGAGGGCTTGCCTCTGGTATTGAAAAGGAGGATTGTTGAATACTCAGCAACCCAGAGTTTAAATCACTGGACCTCAAATTTCCATTTCCAACAGATGAATACAGAGGAATTCATTGATTTTAAAATACACTGCTATCTGTCAGCTAATCTGATCTCTCCTTGCTCCTTTAATACATGGCCCTGAAGAAGGAATGCAAGAGTGAACATCAAAGGACACATTAAACATCATATCCCCCCCCCATTTTGCCATTTTCAGATATGTTTTGCCAGATGTTGGTGTGGTTTTCAGATTCAAATGAACATTTTTGAGACTGGGTTTCAGGCCAAGTTAAGCAACTGTAGGTGAAGACATTTGCTCTGCAAACCATAATTTATGGCAAGATGTGCAGGGCAGAAGGATTGTGAAAAGGTTCTCATTAATGGATACTGAGGAAAAATACCTGATTTGTCATATATAACAGAAATGCAAAAGTTCCTCACGTTCTAGAGACACTGCAGTATTTGTTGGACTTTCAACCAACAGAGATTAATGTGCCATAAAGCTTTTCCCCCCTTCCTTACAACTGGCACAGACAAACAGCATTTTACTTCTTTGAGACAGTGGGAAATACCTGAAGACCCTACTGATTTTTCCATTCCATTAACTTTCATCATGATGTCTTTGAATACCGAAGGATAACATCTCTTCCATTGACTAAAGGCCCTCTGAAATACACCCCTGTATGACACAGAGGATCATTCAGAAGTGAAGGAAAGCAGTCTTCTGTTTCCTGCCCCTTGCTTCATTCCCTGGGGCACAGACCTACAGCTCTGCTGCTTCATGTCCCCTTCTGAAAAGCAAACCTGACCTCTGCCCCTGTTAAACTGGATCATCAAGTTGTCCTCTGTCTTATTTATTTTTTTCATAATGAAGGAGAGAAAATGTTTTGCACTTAGTAAAGAAGTGATCACATTTACAAAGTTATCTCTGAGTAAACAAGATGAAACTTTTTGATCCCTCCAATTAAAAAAAGTCTTTAAATATACTGTATGTGGGTTCAAAAAATCAACTAACTCCAGCTGTGGAGTAAAAGTCCTGTGAAGGCTGCTTAATACAAAGATGCATAATCTGACAGATTTATTTCTGGAGTCCAAAGGTACTGGAGATTGGGAAACTCATCTGACAAACTATTTGAAAATACGTGCTTGGCCTGCTCTTATTCTGTTCCTGATGTCTCTGCTACCAGTGTCTATGAGAGAAACTGTGTCAGCACCTGTGTGGTGGGAGCTAGCAGTTCTTTTCAGATATATTTTTGTGTACATACCATGTACTCCCGCTTATGACCACTTCCCAGTAGTGCCGCCCGCTGTCGATGAACACGTTGCCAGCTACTCCATAGCTCCCCTGGCTCGTGAATCGCTCTGGTGTGTGACTCTTCTTGGATGATGTTTCATCCCGCTCCACTGTCAGGTTATCATGAGACACTTTCAATTTTCTATGAGCAGATTTGGGGTCCAGTTTAAATGGCTGACCTAGAGATTCAGAGACAAAGATGACAGAAGAATGGTTTGGCTTTGATTTTTAAAAGGAGATTGGATTAACAAGCTTCTAAGAAGCCCACAAGATTACATAATCATATTAATTTCCTCCTCTCAAGCGTTCTTGAGATAGACTAACCTATCCTGCTCCCTGCAATAGCTAGTTTCCATTGCATTGTCAGTTTACTGTCAACTTCATTGTGCACTAACTTCCCTGTGTCGATAATCCCTGAAAAGAGCCCTGCATAATCATCATGTCCATTATCCCTGACCTAGAGGTAACCAGAATACGCTAATTCTTGCGTGTAATTGAAACCAATATACATGCTAATAAAGGTCTGAGGGTTGCTTTTTTTCACAGCATATTAAATTTAGGATAACTTGTGTAATATTAATTCTCTAGGGATAAAGCTCCATAATAACATCTTCATCATTCCTACAAAAAGTATGATTTCAAATCCCACAAAATGAATTTGAAAATAAGAAGCACTAGACTTATCTCTTTGTTCACTGACAGCTTTATTTGTAACAAGCACAGTCAACAATTCAGGATTGCTTTGGAAGGATGCCCATGTGGTGTTGGATACTGTGCATTAAAAGGAAGGAAGTGAACTGTAACTTGGTCCAAATAATATGGTGCAATAACATTACTCAGGCTGTTGCTCTTGGCAAGTATCTTCGGCTGTAGCACAAGGTCTGTAGACAATAACAGGAAGCTTTTTGGTAAACCAAACCTTGCAGATATATAAAGCCCACCACAATTCTGACAGGCTTGCACATTGTGTCAGAAAGCAGAACAATCATCTACCTCTGCCAAGAGATGACTAGAAAAGTCCAACTCCACAAGTGGTCCAGCAAAGCACTTTTTCCTTCTGACTGTCTTTCATATCAAGGGGAAAATCATGTAATCAGAAGATGTGATGGCATGCGCAGAAAATTTAAATTAGACCTCTCACAAAGCCTGTGTGAGGGTTATCTACTTTTCCAATGTGCATTTAGCTACATATTATGACCAAATACAGAATAAATCCATTGGAAAGTACTTGGGGACAATTCCTTACTGCCTGACAGCAGTAACATAACCTCCTGCCTGCCTTTCCAACTGCTTAGTAGCCTTTGTGTGCTGGAGCAGTGTCTGAAGGATGTCTCTCTGTACTAAATTGTGTCTGGTCACATCACACAGGTTCATAGCAAACGAGGAAATTAGAAAGGTGTACATGCCATTCTCTTTAGACTCCTTCTTGCACCACTCACTGTCACCCCTCTTCAAGCACTCTCCCCTACAATAAGCAGGTTTCAGAAGATGCACAAATCCCACTGTTTCCAGCCCTCAGAGCTGCCCATGATGACTACATGACTGAGAGATTAGCTGGGACAAGAGGAAAAAACAGCTGAAAACTAGTCTTAAAATTGCTATTCTACATCTGCTAATAATTTGAGTAACCACTGTTTTTTTGAAGTGGGATCTCTGATTAGTCTATCACCTTGCTGAACTCCATAAAAAATGAGGGGGTTGAAGCTAAGAAGTTTTCCAATGTCCTAAAAAAGAGATAATTTTGGAGAATAAAATTAGACTAGCAATTATCTTATGAACACTACACAAAAATAAAATGTTTTACTGCAAACATAAGAAAAGGTTTTACTTTGTAGAGGAAAAAGAATAGAGACGATATTAAAACAAAACCACAAAAGAGTATTTTCAACCATTTCACATATGATGGCTTCATTCCTGTGTGATATTTACAGTGACCAGACTACAGATGTATCTCTCAGAAAAAAACCCAACATATTTTCTGCACTACAGAAGACTCAAGCAATCTCGAATTATGTTAAATAAGTGGCTCTCATTTTGGAAAGGACTTTAAAAGAGTTGAAATTCTCTGTCCTCTTGTATCATTCAAAGATCAGACCTAAAGAGGAAGGCCAGAAAGGAGAAGGCTTTGTGCACCCTGATGTCGTGTTACTCACTGTTTGTCTTGAGCTTGCCGGGCTCGCTGCTGCGGCTGCCAGCCTGATTAATGGCCTTGACAATGAAGATGTACTTGGTGCCACTCTGTAACCCGTGCACCGTGTAGTGGTTTTGTTTGATATTAGGAACAATCATCCAGCTGTCGGCTGAGTTGCATAAACCTGCAATTTTGAACAGAGCACATCAGTCATAGCACACGAAACACTTTGTAACAGAGGGGCGTTTAGAGCATCCCCAGGCACACAACACCAGTATGAACTTTGCTTCTGTACCTTTTAAAGTGTTAAATTTACTGAGCCACTACTTAAAGCCACTAATTCATTTTATCAACCCTCAGCCAAGGTACCTTTTAAATTCTTGCTATGTGAAGTGAACCATAAAAAGTGGGCATTTAAGAAATGGCTCAGCAGAGACACTAGCAGTCTGAGATTTTTCATATCCCAGCACAAGGCATTCTTTATTGCTTAAGAACTGGAGGATTATGGAGATCCCATCAATCTACTGTTTGGATTAATGAACTCAGTTTAAACCTCAGAAAACGAACGTAAGCAGTAAAGCCAGGAGAGCTGGGCAGGCACCTTTGCTGACAGTCCCCAGGTATGCATTCTTCAGAACCTGAAGCAAATCAGGGGGGCCAAACAGGGTAGAGCATGGGCTTCAGGGAAACCTTTGGCTCTTGCACTTCAGACTTTGCCAGAAAGTAATCTAAGTCAATAAATTTAATGGATGCAACTTTTTGATTTATGTGCTCATGCTGAGATGCCAGCTGGGAAAGAGCTGGAAATTTTCCGTTTATAAACCTTTCTGGTTTATATTTGATTTACATTTGATGCCTACCACGGAGGTATAATACATAGGAAGTAAGTAAAATAAGAGAGTACCAATACCACAAACAAAACAGGAAAATACTCTATTAAAATTCACTTTTTAATCTACATAAGTTTTTCCTACTGTGATATAAATGTAATGGCAGTCAATCACCCATACAAAAAGTTCTATCACTGTATATTTGGAACAGCTCCTGGTCTAATGGATTCCCCAGCTACTTATTGTAGATGTTTACATAAAGAAAAAAAATTATGAAGAGTATATCTATTCCCAATATTTTATATGGTTATACAGCCAGAAATAGATATAAGTGGAAGTGCATGCATGTGTGTACATATGTAAGGCTCGAAAACTTAACAGAGAAAGGCTTGATTGGATTAGGAACCTGACAGGATTCTTGGCCTCTGTCTTTACTGGGCATAGAACACGTTCTGGATTCTGTTGTTATTTAAAGACAGCCTTCAGCTTTTAACTAATGTTCTACCAGCAAATCACTCATGAAGACAAATCTTTCAGAACTCAATAGTAATTCAGCTCTGTATATGAGACAATATGAAAACTTTATGTAAAATAAAATTTATAGGCTACTGCTTACAAAACCAGTAAAGAAAGAAGCAGATCTGTGATACAGGTTTGAAGAATCATAGACAATTTCGTGGCCATACTATGAGATTCCTTCCTAATATGATATGTGCTTTTCATAACAAAGGATCATTAGAAACAGAATTTAAATTCAAATTTTCAATCTAAATGTTATGAAGTTTGTACCTCAAAATTCTCTTGCATTACAAAGCATTTTTGAGAGGCAGGCAGAGCAGAGATTCATCCTGCTGGGCAAATGGGAAATTGTGGCACAGTTTCAGGTTGGATTCATACTATCTTGCCACCTAATGAAGAGCTATAATGCCAAACTTATTTTTCTGGATTCTGAGGAAAGGCAGAAATCAGTAAGTACTTTCTTTCACTTCCCCAGGTGTGAACATCCTACCAACCACAAATGCCTCTCTTTTCTTGTCCACAGAGGAAGCCTAAGTGACCAGCATAGGTGAGATCTCTAATTTCAGGTATCTAAAATGATGTGAGATGAGTCACCCATCTGTAGATAATCTAATATATATATATGTATGTATGTATATGATTGTATAGAACAATTATCTGCCTTTCCCATGAAGAAAAAGAACCCCACTTCATATCCCATGGTAACCCCAGCTGGGCCCAGCACTTGTAGTGAACTGCTTAAAGCAATATCCTTCCCTATCTTCTCTCACTGAGCCATACACAGCAAATTATATTTATATTTTTAGGCTGTCTGTGAATGGGTTTCCTATGAGAAAGAAAGAAAATAAAGGAAGCAGCTTCCTGACATAAAATATTTCACTGACTATTCAGAGGAAATCTCATCTTTTCCCAATTTGCCACAGATATTAAACACATGCTTCTGTGCCTGAACTACCACATTGATTTTGCATTGAGATCACCCCTTACTGGACTGGTGCTATTGAAAAATAAAGTACGTTAATATAAAACAAAATTAAGCTCTGGATTTAAATGGAATTAAATACGATCAAGGAATCTTTAACTAAGATGTCTCTGATGGGATACCAAATAACATGACAATAAGCAGGATGGATACAGACAGTGGTCCTGGGAGTGGCTTCTCCAATCACAACCACCCTTTGAAAGCAAAATTCTGTGGTATGTATAAGCCTCATATAAACCGATTATTATGCAGACACAGAAAAGCCCAGAGTTTTGCTAACTCATCTAGAAACTAGTTTTGTATTATTCACTACAGCTCCCTAATGGGCACATATTTAAGGCTTGCATTACACTTTTTACAATACCCTCCAGAGGCTGATTGCCTCTTAACAAAGTATAAAACTTTGATCCAGGTAAGTATATAAAGGACAGTGAAGGTACTGCTGCATTTCTATGAGTCACCTCTGGAGTTCATCCCCTCCTCTTGGGTATGTGAATTTATACATACCCAATAATCACTAAAGGCTTTACCTGCCCTAAACTCTGCACAGTTGATGGAGAGAGTCAGAAACCTCCTGTTTGACCTGACTCATGTTATAGAGGAAAGCTTTATCCTCTTTGATAACAGAATGCATCTTAGGTTTCTTTTCTTTGTCCTTCCACTCTTAGACATCTCAAACTACTGATGTGCAAGAAATGTTGGATGTGCAGTGACTGACCCGGTTACTTTGCTCGACAAACCTTGTTGTCTTAACAAGCTCAGTTCTTGCCTATGCACCAAGGTGCTCAATGATATGTTCTTGTGCTTTCTGACTGTAAGCTCTTTGATAACAGGCTTTAAATTGTACTTTGATTCAAAAATCCTGGGAATGAAGAACTGATGATGCCAAACTACAAGTCCAAACTCCTTCAAAAGGGAGAATGGTTATTAGTGGCAGCCAAGTTAAGCTTTTACGTATGAAAGAATAATTTGTCACTGCATCAAAGGAATTTGTCTCCAGTTATGCCCTGTCAGGACAGCCTTTCTTCTCTGAATACAAAAGAATATGATTAAGGAAGTTCAGGGAAATGAACAAGTAGCCTGATCACACTGGCATCCAGGGGAAGTGTTTGCCCTCTCAGTTCCCTGTCGGTGGCAGCAGGTGAAGTGGAAAAGTACACATGTCCTCACTGGTGCAACAGCAGGAGCCAAAGGTCTCCTATTGTACCCACTCCTAATCCAGACTGCATTCAGGTTTCTTGTTTCAAAATCCCAGGGCTTTTTACAGGGTTATGCAGATGGTAAAACAATGTATTTTAAAACTGTAGCCTACAAAAATGTAGAGAATTTAAATTACATCCTGGAATGGTGCAGTGAGCACAGTGATGTCCGTACAGGATGTGTGAGTTTTCAAAACAAGTTTCTCAGAGTCTGGAGGTAATAATTTGTAAAGCTATTTCCCTGGTGCTGGTTGTTGATGCACTTTAAAAAATGGACAGGAAAAATCTCAAGGTGAAAATCCTCTTAAAATTTGCACTGATAGATTTTAATAAAATATTTTTTCTTGAAAACTGGAAAAGGAGCACAAAAGTCATGGGAAGGTTATTTAATCTCTTGAGTATTTTAATTATTGTAAAATGTTTTATTTAAATAAATTATTAGCAATTCAAATTGGTCGAGTAAATAAGGTAGGTGAACGCAATAGATAGCTCTCCACCCCCACTCTTCATTCCCATCTGCAAAAAAAAAAATATACATATGCAGGATTTCTGCAAAACACATTGAATTTTTTTTTCTAAGAAATACACCCTTTTTATGCTTTTAAAGATGCAGAAGTTTTCCTGGTTTTATCCCAAATTTGCTTTTGTGCCATTAAAAATTCTCACTAAAATCTCTAATAGAAATTTGAAGACTGTAAGGAAACTGTTTTTATTAAAATAAAACTCCCAGAAAGAGGCAAAATCTAGAATATTAAAAAATGATTTGGTGAATCATAATCACTGTTTTTCATGGAACCTTGGGCTCCTAATTGTCTTAGGTCCTTCCAAAAACTTCTATCCTCTCTCAAAGGAAGAGAAGTCCTGTACAGTGAAAGGTTCTGAGAGCAGTACACTGTATCCTTGACAGTGATTTTTTAGAAATTAGACTGTATAACACATTAGCCCTGATTTATTTCACCAGGTGAGAGAGAATCAGATATATTTTTCCTGAAGAATCTTGTATCAGAGCTAGAGAAAAATTTGAACCATCCTGAAACACACTATAACAAATCCATGATGTTAAAAAAGGGCATACTCTATGAATACTTGAAAATCTATTAAAATGGGATAATGAAATTATAATGCATGTTAGTTAGCTAGTGACAAAGTAATTTTAAAATCTTTTACCATATTCAGATTGCAGGTGATTAGCTGCCTCTCAAAAATGCAAATGTACAAATGGAATAACTCTGAGAACAACTGCTTTAGTAAAAGCAGACTCAATCTAAAGTTCAGTATTGCTCTTATACACAGAGCAGGTCTGCCAAGCATTCAATAGCCAAGAAGTTTGGCCACATTTGGAAATAATCTTTCCTGTATGAAATAGGATTCAAATGAAATACTCTATTTGGACCTTGGCCATCAAATGTTAACTTTCCAATTTTTCAGTTAATAAAAAAGAATATAGTTGATTGTGTTGGATAGAAAATATACTAAAAAAACATAGTATTGCTTGTTTTTGTTACTGAATTCTTAGCAATCTCCGGATGATATATGCCTCTGGTGGGGGAAATGTACTGTTAGTGGAAAGTGCAGTCAGGCTGGCTATGTGGTTTAAGAAACAGATTCCAAAGTAACAGCCTCCATTAGCACGGTAGGTGGGTATGTATGCAAAGTGATTGCTATTGTCTCAAGGGAAAAAGCTTGCTCGTTTAATGCAGTACCAGAGCTACTCCCTGGTGACTAATTCGTAGCTAAAAAGCCACGAACTGAAGTCAGTCTATGACCCTGTTTACATTATCTGCTACATGCAACACACAATACCAATGGAAATTTTTGGGATGTGACAGAGAAATGAAAATACAGTTACATGCATATGCCAAAAATAGGAAGAAATTTTTTACTAACCCAAAGTCTAAAACAGGATTAAAAAAAAACAAATCACAAACCTATCTTCAGTTCACAGAAACATGAAGGCTGCAGTGCAGCACCTGTTAATGCCACTTGCAGTGAGAGTAGCTCTCTGTGTTCAACAGCACTACCAAGGTACACTGTGATATTCTAAGAACAGCCCTGGAAAGTCATTTGTAACAGATGTGATGTTAAATCCTTCTGCAGGATCAACAATATAATGCAATAAAGTGAATAAACATCTGAGTAGTGTTCTGAGTACAATGAGGATGGGATTGACAGGGCAAGAAGAAACAGTCTCAAGTTGTACCAGGGAAGGTCTAGATTTGATATTAGGAAAAATTTCTTCATGGAAAGGCTGGTCAAGCATTGGAACAGACCATCCAGGGAAGTGGTGGTGTCACCATTCCTGGAGATATTCAAAAGTCACATGGATGTGACATTCAGGGCCATGTTATAATGGTGGACATGGCAGTGTGAATGGATGGACTCAATGATCTCAGAGGTCTTTTCCAACTTAAGTGACCCTATGATTCTATGATGTTAGTGGGCAATCTCCAACATCAGTGTAATTTGGAATGACCTGGGAGAGTCTAACATTTTAGAAACCCAGGCTGATTTGGAGCATGTTGGCAGGAAGATCACCACTGGAGGTGTTCAAGTCTATATAAACTAATCAGATTTTTAAAAAAGCTTTATAAGATTTAGAAAGGCCTTTCACATATACATGCATGTATTTAATTTGGGTTAACATTATAGCTTTTAATTAAACCAGGATATTTGCATGAGAACTAACTCTGTTTAAAAAAAACCAAACCCAAAACAAACAAACAAACAAAAAACAAAGAAAAAAACCCCAAAACAAAAAACAAGCAAACAAAAAAAGAGCCATTCCTTCATTTCTGTCTACTTTCATTTAAGGTCTTCAGAGCATTTTGTAAACAAAGTTTCTTACAGTGTTAATTTTTTTTCTCTTCAAAATTTTAATTACCTATTTTTGCAAAGTGGTAATATGAAAGTTCAGACTGCATACTGAGCAATTCGTGCTGTGCTTGAAAATTATATTTCATCCCTGAAAGCAGACTTATTGATAAATGTTTTGCAGATCAAAGTTTTCACCTCCACATGGGAAACCTACAGTACAGCCTAAAATAGAAATACCTTGTTATTTATTCATTAGTAAGCAAGGAGTAAAGTCCCACATCCCAAAACTAAAAAAATGGCACACCTTTTGCTGCTGCCATGTTCATATTTAGTGCCAATAATTGACTTGTACAGCATAAAGCCATAGATTAAAATGGACTAGAAAACAAGCAACACACTGGCTTATCATTAAGTCCTCTCTGCCTGGTAGTGATTAATGAGGGAAAGTTTTCCTTCCTTATCTACCTTGCTTCGATTTTTGCAAAATTACTATTAGACTTTTTTATTATCCAGCTTGCTCAGATGCAGAAGCATGTGTTGAAGTTTATTTGGTCTTTCTGACAGCCTTAAATTTTGCAGTGTGTTCTTCAAAATCAGACTCTTAAGGGAAATACTAAATGGAGGTTTTGACAAAACATTCATCAAATTTTCAAAAATCCGTCTTCTTTTTTTAGTCAGTCCTGAATATTATAATACATCCACAGTATGCTACTTAAAAAAGGTACTAAGATGCCAGCACATGAATCCTCAGATGTCCTTTCAGATGGCTTGGAAAATAAACTCCTACTCAGTGATGGAGAAGATGAGGTGCACACAGTAACAGAGGACTCAGTGGGAGAGTTTGGCTCAGTACTCAAACTTGGCATAGACCATATTATTTTTCCACCAAGGTGAAGCATTTAAACATGCCCACAGCACTGACTTTCATCAACGTATCTCAAAAAATTTTCTTCTTACAAAAATATTTTGAAAGAAGAAAACCATTTCTGCCCTGTCTCACAACTAAGCTTCTCTAGCTCAGTGCATGGCCAGGGTATTTGATGATGGGGAAAGATGAGGGTGAAGGAAGGTTTCAAGGAACAAGGAAGGCACACACTGATCATTTCTCACCTTGCTCTCCCAGGCACCAACACCTTACAGCTCTGGGACTTCCAGAGCCACTTCATTGCACTTCATGGCTCTCAGTGTATTTTTCTTGCATGACCTGTCCAGGGATCTCTTGAATTCAAAAACACACCAACCCTCTGTGGCAATGACTTCCCTATCCGAATATGTGTTGACCTGAACAAACTCCACATTTTGATTGATTTGGCTCATTTCAGAACCCTTGTTTAATAAAACAAATGTGTGTCAGCTAGTGGTATTCTCATTAAATATACAGGGACCAGGAAGAACTTGAATGACTATTCCAAATTCATAGTCAATGACCCCAATGATTGCAGAACACTGAATCCAGAAACGTTGACTTTGTGACTAAAGATTTGACAATATATTTTTTTTCTGTGAGGAGTAATTATTTAACAATAAAACAATCCAAAATCCAATTAAGTAAATTCAGTCATTAAAGGAAGATACAGATTCAAAACATAGAGTGTACTCATTAAAAATGTGCTAACAAAACATACAATGTTTGTTAATCTCATTTTAAGTAAAACCAAATTATTATATAAATTGCTGTTCCACTGATGTTTTCTGACTTAGCCTGCAGTTCGCTGAGACCTATGCTTTATAGCCTTGAAGACAAAAAATCAGAGGGAAGGACTTAATCTGTATTTCAGACAAAGGTCCAGATGTCAAGTTTCTATAAATTACAGTGGGGCTGCAGTTCTAACTAATGACCAGCTCAACACAAGGTTCCATGTGCACATTGCCTTACTAGTGCAGAGAATGGAACTGAGGTCTTTGAACTTTGACTTTTGCAGGTCTTTGAACCTGAACAAAGGAATTGGGATGCAAGAGATAAGTCCTGTTAATATAGACAATAGCTGTGATGTGTTCAGTCTTTGAAAGTTCCCAATACATGGCACTCCCAGAAAAATACACAAGAAGTTTTAACTGAAGTAATTCTGAATTTCAAATCCTTTAAAAATCATTATTGGTTTGGATTGAAAATTTTGACTTTAAATCTTTCTAGAAAATAATTTTTCTTTATGATCTTGACATAGGAATATATTTATCTTTAAAGACACTTAGTTTGCATAGAGACCATAAGGGAACAACAAGAAAAGAGAAGGTTTGTACTCACTAACAACGTTGGCTTGTCCAGTGAAGATGGTGTACTGCAGCTCGTAAGAGACCACACTGAACTCATCATCTGACGTCCAGTGCACAGTAATGGTGTCATAGGAGGCTGTACAGAGCTCTTCTCGAATGGTGGGTGGGTTGGGAGCTGTCAGATACAACACAGGAGGCACAATCAGTGAAGTATTTCCCCTCTCCCCTGAGATTAGAGGATGTAGTTGATGTATGAGACTGGAGAGACATCATCCAACAGACTTTCAACGACTTTTCACTAATTCCAGCACTAATTTTGGTTATCAATTAACTGTTAGGAAGGAATTCTTAATAACAACATAACCACCTAGGAACTCTAGATTTTGAAAATATTCTGTTTTGAAGTAGCTTTAGCTTCAGATGCCACAGAACAAGAGATGTATCAGATGGATACAATAGCAAGTTACTTTTTCTAAGATTGTTCTGATCATTTCACCAAACTCATCAAAATTTCATTGATGCATTTCAAGAGGGAGGGTCAAAACTCTTCACTGTTGACATGAAAGCAGTGTTTGCCCAGCCTATCTTACCAGAGATTGCCATAAGTGGTAATGTGGGGATGCATCCTTCCTGGCCTCCCTTTAGGCTGCACTATGATCTGTCATTCATTAGCAACAGGTATTTAAAATATATAATTCTGGAGAAGCTCCCAACACTCATACTTTCATGCTCAATTTTTTCCTCTCTCCATTTTTATTGATCTCCTAGCTATCCTTTCTAAAATAGATACATATAATTTCTGCTGGTTATAAAACTCACGTTTTCCAGCATTAAAAAAGAGTTCTTATCATAACATAATGACTGTATAAATATTACAAATAGTCACCCAGGAGGCGTCTGCCTCTCTTTTTTTTTCTAATCAGCATGCAGGATCTTTGTGTAGCAAGATATACAGTCTTTTTCCATATTAACACATGAGTTTGTTTTAAAGACCTATATAAAGAAGTGAAACTTGAAGCAAATTACTGGGGCCTAAATTTTCTTGTTTGCAATCTTTAAAAACCAAACACCTAAATAACAAAGAAATTAGTCTGTCTTTGAAAGACTGAGGGATCTTCCTGCATTCTTGTCTCAGTGGGAGCTTCATTCCAAATCATCTTCCCTGCAACCCACACCATGAAAAGAAAAATCACAAACCCTTGTGCTTTAATAGTGTTTCTCCCAGCTGTCACAGAGTGAAGAAGGAGGGCACTCAAGCTGAAACAACCAAACTATGTCTGTATTAGAGGAAAAGGAAGGCAACTATGAATGTTTGTGGTTTTGTTTTGGAGTTTTTTTCCTGTCAGCTCTTTAACCTCTGATAACCACAAATAATAGCCTCAAAAAAAGTTCCTTTGAAGGAATTCCACCTTTACTTTTGCAAGATCTTGTTTTTATGAAACATCTATTTTTTTTTTCCATAAAGAATTTTATAGATCATGTCTCTGGCTTACTGATGTATGTTCCCAAGGATTAAAGAGTAGACGGGTTCCCAAGCAGCCTCTTTTAACCAAGGGACTTCAGGAAAAGTTCAAATGTGTTTCATGATACGACCGTGATTTGTAATGCTCTAAATATTGAATCACAGAGGCATACCAATGCTTTTTTTAAGCTTGTCAGAGAAACCCTTGTGACAGAAGGGTATTAAAGAAAAGAAATACAAATAAACTCAAATAAGAACAGCTATCTGTGAGAATAATATAATCAAAATATGGGGGGAAAAAAGGACCACAGTTTTCTGAAAAGATTAATGGTAATATCAGCTATGTTCTAACAATGTACCCTGTAGAACAATTACTGGAGGTTTTAAATTTTATTCCTGGCTGGGGCTTCATTTCAATATTTTGTCTGTCCTTCAAAGGCCAAAAAAATTGGAACAAGTGTTAATAACAAATATACAAGTAGATCCATTTTTATTTGTCTGACAATGATCAACTAAAGTTTTCTTGTCATCTCCTGCACCTAACAGCAGAATATTTTACTTGAGAAATGTACATATTTCAACACAGAAAATAAATATTAATTTATGGAAAGCAAAAATTACTGAAGGTTTCATTAACTGTAAACTGCATTTCAATAACACCTAAGCATCTTCAAATTCTTTGAAAATGGCATCCTAAGTTTGCTCTTTGTATCCACACCTGGCATTATAGCTGGAAATCTACAGGCCTTAATGTAATGAGAATGTCTGAAAGAGATTCGACCTAAGAAATACATATTTTCCCTGGTTCTTGTGATTAACCCACACTCACTTGAGATTATACTGCATGAATTCAGCTCTTTGGCAACGTTCATTCCATAAACCACTCAGAAGAAAACAAATACACCTGCTTCTCCTACAGAAAGTCAGGCAACTCTTCAGATGCTTTGTTATGATAAAATAATGTAGCAGCCCGACTGCCAAATTCATCATTCTACATCTGATTTGGTTATTAAATTCACCAGTGTTGTTACAGAGCTCTGTGCCACAGGGTAACCTCCCCAAAAACTCCAGTGATCTCAAGGCTGCAACTTCCCCTTCCTGACTCGGGTGTGCTTCACCTCTGCTCCAAAGGGAAGCCCAGCATGTTTCCAGCACAGCAGTGGAAGACATAATGCACTTCCATAGAGGATCAGAGCAAATATCTGGGAGTGGTAATAACTGCTTTAGAAATTCAGACTTTCATTCACAAGGTTTTGTGGATCAATACTCTCTCAGAAGACAGAAAAATCATTGCTGAAGGCTGTTTTACTTCATTTTGACTCAAAACCGAGTAAACACACTTAAAAAGTCAGTAAGCACACCTAAAATGCCTGAAAGGCACAAATATTAGAGATGTAGTTTCTTAAATTTGCTCTTAGGAGTAACTGATCTCACGAGCACAGCCACTCCCTTTCAACCCATTTATTTTAATGCACCTTCCTTTCCATGCCATCAGCATGGCTTCTGCTCTGAAGTATGGCTCACAAGGTCTACCTCAGGGACAGTTTAGGCCTCCTCTCCCTGAATTCTAGCATTAATGCAGTGCCTCCTGGGTGCCTATTGAGATTCTGTCTAAATCCTCTCGGCATAAGGTCATAGAGATTGACTGCAACCACCTCAAATTCATTTCGTTTGCCCAGTTTCTCTCTCCCTGCTGACCTGTAGTGATTGACTTTTTAAGGATTCCTTATGGATTTTGATACTGAGTATCAAGATCTAAGAGAAGACCTAAGCAATCTGCTTGAATTAATGGTGCTAGAAATATCCATATTGCTGGTATGACCATGAAGGAGTTGCAGAAGCTGCTCTGAACCTCTCTTTTAGATATTCATTACTGATTCTATCTTGTATCATGACACTGGGCTGTATCAGCAAGGAGGAATTTGAAAGGCACAGTTATATCAGATGTGGATACAAATTTTATGTATTATTAACTTGTTATGTGTGAGGTAGTACTGAGGGCTTGGTCATACATACAAACCATCTTGACCTCGTCTTTGGGCAGGCCAGAACCAACAGAATGAGAAGAGATTACACCCAAACCATGAGACTGAGCATTGTCAGGAATTGGTCTTTGATCTTTCAGTGCTGAAAGAGTTAAGCAGTAAGACAGGTTGTGAAGAGTTTCCAGAACAAAGTTGTTTCTGTGTGAAAAAATTGCTGGCATATGCTAGGCAATACAGATTTCTTTGTGCAGTCATAGGTGAAGTGATGGATGAAGAAAATTTATCATTGCTTCAGATGGAATTTCTGAAGTAGGGCAAATTGCAAGGTCAAAGAATGGATGTTCCTGCAATTGATTTCAAAGTATTAAGACACAAACCAAGCATTTTTGATTCACAATGGACAAAAAGTCCTTAAAACAGTAATATTGTGCAGAGAGTTTGCAATTCATGTGTATTGCGTGGATCTAGCTAGATACATGTTTAAAAAAAATGGTTTCCAGATGAAGATCTTGAGCAACTGTTAAGATAAGAATGCTTTCAAAAGACATTGAAGCTATATATACAGAGAATAGAACAGTCAGATGAAGATTAAAAGTATTCTTTTAATATATTGAGCTTGATATCTCAATGCCTGGCAGGCAACTTTTAGAAAGATATCAGAGATTTTATACAGATAGCAGAAGATTTGGACAGATATCTACGTAAATCATAAGCACAGACTAGTTAAATTTATTTCTTCAGTAAAGAAATAGCCTAGGAAGAAAGAAAGATAGGGTTAGGGAGACAGAGGATAAGAAGCTCTGACAAATATTATACTGGGAAGAACCAAAGGAGAAAAAAATCTCCAGGAGACAGCCAAGATCAATTGTTTCGAAAGCAACTGACAGCAGAGATAATGAAGCTGGAATTTACGTTTTGACATTTTGTTAAGAAGCAGCACAGATGATAGTCATAAGGTAGACTTCACTTAATTCACAGCATAGATCTATGACTAGGATGTACAAATGGTCTTTGTTTTACTTAACTGTGGAACGTGATAAAAGTAAAGCCTAATTCACTCTGTCACAAAGTGTTCATTTTACGATCTATGAAAATTCCATGCACCAATCTGAAAGGAGTAATATAAATCTTTCTCTGGAGTTTCTGGACAACAGTAGATAATAATCAAATGCGTTTTACTCTTGGATTATATATACATACTCTTGGGATTATATATATATATATATATATATATATATATACACCTATATCTCATGTATACCTACATACATATATTTACATAAAAGTATTTTAACAGTCTGCATAGGTTGTATTTTATGCTCAGATAATTTGGACATGTGCTTTACATTCTGCCACTGCAGCCATATGATATTTATTAATGTGAAGAAAAGCCAGTTAGAACTGTTTTTCACTGAGCATCAAGGGCAAGGATAAAAATGGTTTGTTAGGAAAAAACTAGCTAAAATGCATTATATATATGCAAGTTTCCTTAGACTGCCTTGTGAGCAATTTTTTAGGACTATGGATGAGTTAGGAAAAAGGCAGAGAAGGAGCTATGTAAATGACACAGTCACCATGATGGATCACAGAAGACACCCTTGCAGCAACTTCATTTTGATATAGATATAACCTTTGTCTTTTGCAGCGTGCAGCAATTAGGTTGATAGTATTGACATATGATGTACAAAGAGGAGAAGACCTGAGGGATGCAGGAACAGACTGCTAGACAGAATTCATCTCATATAACTTCACAGATCTAAACCACAGCTATCTGCATTTGAATATCTATCCTCTGTTTGGAGACAACTGGGAGAAATAGGAAACTCGGGAATGAAGTCAACTGCCTTGATATGTGTGCCTCAAAATGAGATCGTTGTTTCTCTTCTCTGACGTAAAGGAAAATGAGATTGATTATTTTACAGGTAGATTGCTAGGCTAGAGTAAATCAGTCAGCTTTTCGTTTTAATCCTTCCTTTAATTTCCTTGGATTTTTATAAATTTGGGGTGAAGGCTCAGCATGACAGCAAAATTCCTGCAGATATGGAGAGAAGCAGACACCATAACGTTTCACTGAGACTGTATAAGAAGATAAAATTACTCTTACTACATTATTGTTGTGTTTTATTTACTTGAATAGGTGTTAGACACTGATTGTATTCATCTGTCACACAGTGACAAAGAAATTTCTTTGCAGATCTAATTTCTCCTTTAGATATGGCAAGAAGCCCACAGCTTCATCAGGCAGGAGTGCTGCTGCCCTGTGCTTGCACCCATCTTGTGCTTCCCAGTATTAATCTATTCACTATTTATAGAATCACAGAATAGGAGAATACTTTGGTTTGGGAGGAACCTTTAAAAGTCATCTGGCCCAATCTCCAGACAGTGAGCAGGGACAGGTTTGCTCAGAGTTCTGTGCAGCTTGACCTTGAATGTTTCCAGGGATGGGCCTATACAACTTCTCTGGGAATGTCTCATCATCTTTATTTTAAAGATTTTTTTTCCTTATATGTAGTCTGAACTTAACGTCATTTGGTTTAGACCCATTACCCCTTGTCCTTTCTCAACAGAATCTAGTAAAATGTTTTAAGTGTTGAAAGACCACAATGAGGTCTCCTTGGAGCCCTCTCTTCTGCAGGCTGAACAACCCTAGCTTTCTCAGCCTTTCTTCTGGAGAAAAGTCAGCAGTCAGTCCTCTGCTTGGAAAAGTTAGTGGTTGGCAGTGAGGAGACTGCACCCTCACATTCTCCTGAACTAACACAAGTATATCCTCAGAAAACTGGTACATGTGAATGGACCCAGGAAGTGTTTTCCAATGCTTTTCTATTAGTGCTTTGTGTCTTTCATGGCAAATTCTTGCTTCTAACAGCAGACGCTTAAAGACTCTGCAAAATAAAAACCTACCACATCTCTTCTGTTTTCAATTGAGCTGGAATGAATTGTTCTAATTCTGGCACTGAAATCAAAACACTCTAAATTACAGTAATTTGTTTCTCTTTGTGAGTCATTGTACACTCTGAGACTGCACATTACTCAGACTTTCAGTAAGGGTCTAATCCTGTGGGCTTTCTCAGGCCAAAGATCTCAGTTAGACGAGGTGGGGCTCTGCTGTGTGGAGAACCCACCCCACAGCCTGGCTCAGAGCACACCCCACACTCTCTAGCTCCAGACACAGCCAGATCCTCCAGGTCTGTGATGGGGGAAATACACAGTGCCACCAACATGAGAAAACATCTTTCACTGCTGAGCCTGTGATGTTGATTGCTTGAACGGCTTCTGGTTGCTCATGGGAACTCTGCCAAGCAACAATCTGCTGCAGCGAGGAGGCAGCCCCAAGGGAGAGGGCAACACCTGGAGCATCCATCTCCTGGGAAACAGGGTTTAGTCCCTGCTCTCCCTCTCCCGACTGCTCCAGGCTGAGCTCCAGCTGTTCTTTCACTTCACTCTGCTGCAGTGGCTTTTAACCATTTCTCAATCCTGCTTCCTCACACTCTGGTAGTGAAGAATGCAAGGAGACCAGTTAGGAAATGCAACCCAGCTGTTTGAAGCACCTAATGCTTCCTGGGGTGTTCTGGGGCTGCTCAAGGTAATATATTCAGGATTAAGAGGGAGAGTTATTTGGTTTATGTAGCAAGGTTTTGGAAGTGGCTGGCTGCAAGGGTTATCTCTTCCAGAAAAGATCAGGAGTTGACTCAGTATCAGACACAGACATACACCTAAGATACACCTGCCACTATCCAAAGCTGAGCCCATCACTGGTGCTGATAGTTCCTCTGTGACAGAGTTTTAAAGAAAGAGTAAGAAAGGCTGTGCAGCAGTGGGGGAATGTGATAGAAACAGCCGTGCAGATGTCAAGATTGGTGATGAAGGAAGGGGAAGAGGTGCTGCAGGTGCTGGAGCAGAAATTGCCCTGCAGCCTGCAGTGAAGACCGTGGTGATGCAGGCTGTTTCCCTGTAACCCACAGAAGACCACAGTGAAGCAGATATCCACCTGCAGCCGTGGAGAACCCACACTAGAGCAGGTTGATATGCCCTGGAGGAAGCTGCAGCCTGCAGAGAGGACCACATAGGAGAGAGGTTTCTCACAGGAATTATGGCCCATGGGGGACTCACACTGGAGCAGTCCACTCCTGAAGGACTCGTCTGGCAGAAAGAACCCACTCTGGAGCAGCTGTTGGAGAACAGCACCCTGTTGGAAAGGCCCATGTTGGAGAAGTTCATGAAGAGCTGCATTCCATGGGAGAAAGCCCATGCCAGAATAGGGGAAGGGCATCAGGAAGGAGTGGCAGAGGTTATGTGTGATAAACTGACCACAGCCTTCATTCCTCACCCCCATGCTCTTTGTGGGGAGCGGATAGAAGAGCTGGGAGAGAGGCTGAGCCCAAGAAGGATGGAGTAGGGGAAATTTTTTTTTTAGATTTATTTTTATTTTTCAGTGTCCTACTTTTACAATTAATTTGCAATAAATTAAATTAATCTTCCCCTAGTTGAATCTGTTTTGCCTGTAGCAGTAATTCTTGAGTGATCTCCTTGTCCTTATCTCAACCCATGAGCTTTTCATCTTATTTTCTCCCCTTACTGAGGAGATGGAGTGAGAGTGGCTGGGTGAGCACCTGGCAATCAGCCAAATTTGCAACGACAGAGAGAACTGAAGAAAATGCTATCAGTACTATTTTGTGAGGAATATATAAAAGTAACACCTCAAGAAAAAAAAAAAAAGAGTACCTGTAAGGTAATCAAGGCATTCCAATAATTTCTTCTCCCTGGTAAAATCAAGTGCGAAAGTATCAAAAGTATCATTGAGGTTAATTTCAGGAATTAGAACCTGGGAAGATGCAGTTGCCATGGAAACCCTGTAACAAAAAGAAAAATGTCTTTTAGCACGCGAGACACAATGACTTTCATATCAAGGTGGATCAATGTGGTTGTTACAGCTTCTCAAAAAGCTTGATAAAAACTTATCAAGTTTTAACTTACTTTATATGGTTTAAGTTAGGAACTTCTGCCACTTTTATTCTTGACAGCAAGATCTCCAATATTTTATTTTTTTTTAACTGAGCTTAGGTCTATCATTCAATGTCAGATAAGATTTTAACAAAATATTGGCCAAGCAACAATATCCTTTGAATTGTTTTTTTTAATCACCCATTGAACCAAAGAAGAAGGAGAATTATAATTAGCTGTGTTTTAAACAATCCTGACAGATGCTGCATCTCTCCCAGCCCTTGTTTTCCCAAACATTTTCTTCCTCCAGGCATGCCTTGGCACTGCTGTCCCAATGGCTTGGTGCAGTCCCCACACCTCCTCAGCTGCTCACCACAGCATGCTGCTGTTAACTTCAAAAGGCACAGGAGGGAGATAAAACAAATAGATGTCAGCATGGTTTATTTGAGAAGGCTTTTCCCTGCAAAGCATGTGTGCATACTTACATTTCCTCCCGAACTGAAAAGTTTCCTCACCTACCTTGTCTCAGGAGCTACATTCACATTTTCTCTGTCTAGATGTACTGATATAAAGAGATGGGCTTTCACAAGAAAAATCAGGAAGCATTTTTCAGACCCTTCAGCCTGGTTTCTCCAAATGCATATTTCAAGAGAGTTGGGTGCTGGATGTGTTTATAGAAAGTTTGACTGGTTTCAGGAGAGATAACTAAACCTTATGCTATACAACAGAAATTGGGCAAATGTTTCAGTCTGGAGGTAAACAGACAACTATGCATGCAACCTAGGTCTGTTATCTGTCATTCATGGCACATCTGATAAAAATATTTGATTCCTTCAATTTAAAGTTTTCCCAAGTTATTCATTTTCTGTAGACAGGACTGAAATGACTCCAGGACAAATGTTTACTAAGGACTATTTTTCCATATATTTCTTGTGTAGTATTTTAAGAAAATACAATAATGAAAGTCAAAACCAGAGCTGTACATCTCATTGTCTTCAGCATAGTTTTCAAAAGCTGAGCTGAGGTGGTTTCCTGGTCAATATTCTTGTTATACAGTTTTCAGCCTTTTTTTCCTTTGCAGCTCTGGATGTAGAACTTAAAGCAGATCCTAGGACAGATTTTTTTTTTTACTGCTTTTGGGGATACGCAAAAGTTGTTCTATATTTACATGTGTTACAGTCAGTTTTTGGTGAGATCAACAATTCAAATTTCAGACACCATGTCACCATATTAGGTTCAGAGGATTGAATTTCGTCCTGTAATTCTGCCTACTGTTCACACTGCAAACACTGACGCTGATTGGAAAGGATTTTTCTAGGATAAATGCATTTCACCCACTGTAAATAATGCACAACTTAATTATCAGAGTGTATGTAATGACTTTGCTTGTGCAAAGTCAAACCTGTTGTGTTTATAACAGAAAATATTTTACTGTGATTATTTTGAAATGTGTGGATGAACAAATGCAATGAGCATGATTTCAGGAGACTGCTTTAGCTGCTGGAGCTCAGAGCCCTGGTGAGGCTGTTACATGAGTAGTGCAAAAGCAAACAAAACATTGCTCACTACAGGAGAACTAAGAGAGTTACTTGTGAGGAATAATTTATTAATTCTATTTAGCCTCTTTTTCTATTTGCAATTTGTCTGCAAGCACTTGGTGGTTTTTTTACCCTTGGTTTTATTCACTGCTTGGAATGATTCTCTGATTTTCAGGGTGTTCACAGCCTTCTCGTTACAGACAGCAATGTATGATAGCCAAGAACTAATTTTGCTTGGGCACATATGTCAGCTTGTCTCATTTCTGCTCTCCCAGTGTCTCTCCTGTCTCTCTTGTGATTGTAGTTATGATGCAACTGTTCATGCTTACAAATTCAAAGTGGAGCTTCTCTGAATATTCTGTGGCAGTCAATTAGAAAGTCCTGTGTCTCCACAAGTTTCTACCCTGTTGCTGGCTCTGCTGAATGCTGAAAAAAAGGACAGACCCCCACCTTCAGCTTTTGATATTCCTAGCTTTACGACTGGCTTCAACTGAGATGCCACAATGTTGCTTAGTGACAGAATATAAACCATGGTCTGAGAGACAACATATAACCCACTGCCATGCCTGGCCTTGCCTTTTTCAACTGATTTTCAATTCTCTGAATCTGTAATGGGCAACTCAGTGTTGCTGGCTTACTTAGAAATTGACAATTAGCTTTGATGAAAACGAATGCAGCACACAGTAAGTCTTTCACAGTAAGTTAAAGACTTAAAAAATATATGTAATAGGAGCAGGGAATTTCATGTTTTGGATTTGGGGGAAATTGGCTGGAAAATGTGAAGATATAATGTGAACCCAGAAGTAAAAAAATAACTATTAAAAAATAGCTATTTAAAATTTTAAAAAGAGCATACTTTTGGTGTCTTTCTTTGTTGTCCATATTCTCCTTTCTTAAAATGTTTAATTTTTTAATTTTTTTTTCTGATTCTAAAAGCTGATATCCAGCAGAATATTTTTTCATCCGAAAATCCTGCTGAAACTCAATGGGTTTGTTTTAGCATTCACAGCATTGCACTGAAAAGCAAACCAGATTTTCTGATAGCATGGTCCTTGTCTTTGGGATCCTTGATATAACTGGCATGCTGAAGAGGAGCCAAGATCCTGAAAGGAGAAGAAATTCCCTGCACACAGGTTGGACTCAACCCAACAACCGCTGTAACTTCCAAACCCCCTGGACTGGTGAATCTCTGTGTCTTCAAGATGCATGGTGTAGGTTCACAAAGTTACACATTTCATTATCCTGTAGTTTGCTATTTTGTGAAGAATATGAATCCATTAAGATCATTCCCAGTTTCTTCTAAGGAATGTACTTACTGCCTGATTTCTTTCTCAATCTCAGAATTTCTCATGAAGCAGGAATTTCAACCATAAACCCTTTTTTAAAGTGTGTTTATCATCAGACATCTGCTTGGCAACCACTCTAAGTCTTTCACTTGTGCATCCTGTTGTTGTAACTCCTAATTTGCATCCTTTTTTGACTGCTCCTCTTCTCAAAGAAATGTTTTGATTTAGCATTACAGTAAGGTTCTTCCCACCCTCGTATAGAACAAGGTAGCATTTTGGGGGAATATGTCAACTACCCTCCTGCCTTTGACCATGGCTCTGATGTGACAAGACAATACAGCAACTATGACACCCCAGCTGCCGTAAAGTGAGGCTTTTCTTTTTATTGAGAGGAACGTCTCCTTTACCTTTCAGTGATATTTTTAGCTGTCTGCAGGAAGCGAGCATGATCATTCTCCTTCAGTGACTGCTCAGCCTGAGAGATGAGGGATGTCGAGCGCTCAATGCACTGCTTGCAGTTCGCAATCTGCTGAGCCAGTTTTCTCAGCCTCACCACCTTGAGAGGAAACACAGGAAAGCAGTCATGTCTCTAAGGTCACAAATCATGACTGGGTTTGCAATTCACAGGCAAGGCTGGGCAAAGGAGGAGTTAAGGTGAATGGCTTTGGCGACAAGCTTTGTGGTGAACTCCATCTAGCCATGTAACATTTTTAAAAAGGACAGGCAGAGCCTTTCTGCATGAATATTTTCCACATGGAAAACAACAAGGGAGAGCCAAAACAAGCACAGCTGGCCTTTTTTCCAGCAGAAGGAACGTCATTTCCTGGTAATTTCTGCTTACATGATAACTAAGGTCTATTTAGATAACCATTTCCCTGAAATTCTGAGATCCGTGTTAAAGGCTACTTATAGATTAACTCCTTTTTCCTATTACTTAGGTGAGCTTCATAAAAAGAAAAAAACCTGAAAATAAAAGTTAACAGAAAAAGACTGTTCAATTCTGTTAATAATACTTACCTGACCCCATTATGTGCTTTAGGAAAAATAGGGTGTTTTCTTGTTGGATATTTTTAACTGCACAAAAGCATAGTAGTGCTGGAGAGCTGATTATTATTACTGCAAACATATGTGCTGGAGATAAACACAGTAGATGTGACTGTAATCATTAGCTGAAAGGTTAGGGAAGGGCACAGTCCTCCATTTAAAGACAATGTTGGCTAACAAAACTTTCAGGAACTACAATAGTTCCTGAAAGGTTTGGGAGTCCTTCCCTTTGTTATCACATCAGGATCATAGTTTGAACAGGAGTAAGAAATAGGAAGGAAATTAAATAATTCTGGAGTTTAGAAAAGCACATTAAGACCCAGTTACATGCAAAATGAGGAAACTAACAACCAAGTGGGTTGGCAGAAATGTCCACATTTATAATGAAGATAACATTCCCAATCTCAAGAATTAGGGCACAAGCTATGAAATTGCTGATTTGACTTTCAGATATATTTGCATCCTAAGCAGTGATGAGGGTATCTGAGTCCAGCTATCTGACAATAAAAACAAGTAGGAAAATAAACATTTTTGGAAAACTTTCCAAAAAAGATACTGGCCAAATTATTTGGGTCACATTATATTTGTATCTCTTTAAAGATAGAAACAGCAAAGAGAAGAAAATGCTGGGAATACACAGATTTTGGTAAGCTAATGATTTAATCAGCTTTTAGGACGAACTAATGACACAATGTTTCCTATAACTGTGCATTTGCAGAGACTACAATTCAGTCTGCACCAGCCTGACCAGGGACAGGTTCACTGCAGTGTTAAGAAGTTCGTCTCTCTATTTAGTAATTAATTAACAAGCAGTGAACTGGAATAAATGTTAACTTCTGAGTTTTCTGCAGTAGAAGGCATGCCATGATTTGTGATGTCTATATATGAACTACATTTTTCACTTGATTGATTCTTTGTTATATCTTCAAGAAGATGAAGATGATAAATTGAAAAAGGTAGAGTCTCATCTCACTCAGTCCCCACCCACTTCTGCAATGGTAGGAATGACATCTGCCCTAGGATTATTTTACCTAGTTGATATTTGTTTTTTTCCTGTTTCATGTTCTGTGGGATTTTGTAGGGTTTGGGTGACAGGTGAGATTAAGTATGGAGCTGCTCAGGGTGTTCAGACTTGTGTAACTGAACCTGCAGCCTTGCAGGCACAGCTAGAAATTAGTATGTGTTTCCAGCTCTGTAGCCACACCTACAGTCCTAAAGAGAAATCTGTCATGCTCTACCTTCCAGGAACATAGCCATAGGCCCTCTAAAAGCAAGATGCATCGGGCAGAGCTTCCTGTGGCTTTTCACACGGGTCTCTTGAGACCTTGAAATCTTTCAACATATACCGTATTTGAGTGAAAGCATTCCAGACCTTGACTGGAACTCCACTGATGTAACTTTCAGCTCAAAAAAATTAGAACAAAGAATGGGGACAGATTCTGATAACAGCTCTATTCAATTAAATTTGGAGTCAATTGTATTACAAATCTTCCATGCTAATGGAAATTAGATTACATTTTTGCAAGCCACAGAGTTTTTAAAAGCAATGTGATGTGTATGTTGCACGAATCCAAGTGATTGGTAAGTTTTCTACTTCATTGGCAGCACATCTGGTCTCTCTGCATAGAGAAAAAGAGTTGAAACTAAAATGAAGGCCATCTATTTCATTTGAAGAGAATTATATTTTGTTAACAGCATAAGGAAATTCAGTTTTTTTTCACACAGGGTACAGGATCTGTGGTTTCAAACGTGTTTAAGTTAGCCCTTGCCTGCAGGCTTTTCATTTCAAGTTAATTGGAATATCTTGACAGCCACATGAACCATTTAACCTGCTCTTGACTTTGTTCCTTTCCTGAGCTTTTCCCACACAAGAAGAATATCTGACTTAGTTAGTTTAGGAGTTAAACAGTAAACACCTTGTACCTAGAAAACAAAAACATTAATTCAACTCTAATGCATTTCTGAGTTAACAGTTAGCTAGCAAAATACGTTGAAACTTGAGTATCGGAGATTTTTCCTGCTCAGTGTGTTTGTTACTAATAATCATGGAACTTTGGGAATTAGAAATGTGCATCTAATTAAATTTCTTGTACACTTTTTAATATCTTTTTTTGTAAATAAGTTTAGACCCCATATTCTCATGAATGACAATGACTGGAACAAAATTTTTATGTGATAGTATTTGAATAAAAAGTTAAAGTACCTAGGAAAAAAGAAAAAGGTAGTTCTGAGACATGATTCCATATGCTGTGGCATTTTATGAAAGTTAACACTTCTGGGGAAATACTGTCAGGCACCTAACAGAGTGAAGGAAACATTAACTGGACATAATTTGTCATTTACCAATCATGACACCATTTCTGGTTTTATCCTTAAAATCCATAATGACCTGTAGTAAGAGAAGTACCAAATAAACAGTTGAGATCTAGCATACTAATCTTCAAGGATTTCATTCCTCTTTACATGAAAGTATCAGTCAGTAGCCAAGGACTACATAAGGACCTTTACAAATTTTTACCAATAATAGCTGTAGTCAAAAAAGCTGCAATCAAAAGGAAACAGTGTTGACCTATTTGTGATCTAAAGAAGAAAAGCTTTTACCTTTCCTTCTTTGATTTTGGTTCCAATTATTTGCCGTCTTTGCTGGATTATTTCAATGAGTTGGTCACATTCTTCCATCAGCTTGGTTTCTTGGCGGGATGCATTTACCTACGAAGCAAAACCTTATGATTAGCAAAACCTTTTTTTTTTGTTTTTTTTTTTGTTTTTTTGACATTTTCCTTAAATATTTGGTTTGGCTTTTTTTTTTTCTCTTCTCCTTTCTGTGTATAATCTGTATTATTTTCAGTCTCCCTCTTTCGGATTTTGCAAAGTACTGAATTGAGTCTCAATGTTCTGTTTGCAGGTGGCAGGACCTGCAAATAGATAATCAGGTATTTCTGACTCAGGTGAGAAAAGCCTGGTTTGGGGAGTATTGAGTGGTGTCAGCTCTAACACAGGTCTCTTTGGGAGGTGCTTCACACATGACAGTTTGCAGCCATATGAAGCAGTGCAGTGACCACCAGCGTGCTAAGGGCACGAGTACTGGACCAGAGAGTCCATCTGGTGCAGTAACCCCTCTCACTGCTGCCAGTGCCAGCATCTGATAGTAAACAATGCTGGGAGGAAAGAAGTCCCAACGAGGATGATGACTCCCATGAATGCCTTCTCATCCTCCAACCATTTGTAGCTCGTTCTTCTTGAACCAGACACAATTTATACATCATTACTAAAATTCAGAAGATTTAAATTATTTGGATTTATTTAGTCTCTCCTTCAAATCCTGGAAACCTTAGGAATCTGCATCATTCTACAGAAATGAGCACCTCAGCTTAATTCACAGTGAACTGAACAACTGCCTCCTTTTAGTAGGATTTGAACCTATCTCCTTCCAGCTGCTTGTAATAATCCTAAGTCCTTTTACTGGAAAAGACAGTGAACAACTGATACCATATATATCCACATATTGGTTCCTGAAAGATTCAAGTTATCAAAACCCAAGTGACAATACCAAGATGTGTGTTGGCTGTCTTAATTATTCCTGCTTTGCCTCAGCAATGAATCAGATAAAAAATAGTGTGCTCATGTAGTTTTCTACAGTATAAATATATGAGGAAATGAATTTTTTTTTAGTGCAAAACCCCTCACAAACATTAGATTTTTGTAGAAAATGCTGACTTTTGTTAAAAAAAAAAAAAAGAAGAAAACTTGTAATAGAAAAGTTTGGGTTCTCAAATGAATATGTTCTGTTTCTGAAGGAGACTTTTTCAGCGCAAAGTCAACGTTCTATACAATCAGAAAAAAGTACTTCCCCTCCAGCAGTTTCATGCTTAGCTTACATATATGTGTAAAAAAAGGTAAAAAATTTTAATCATGTCTAGAATAAAAAAAAAGAGAAAATATTTATTTCAGAGCTCTGTTTCCATTTGCACTTTGCTAAAAGAGGTCAAGCAGGTAAAGCAGCTTTCAGTCCTGGCTAATTGCCTCCATAGCCATGTCACCTTTTCCACTGGGATAGTAAGAGTCAGTGGTGAATAACAACAGGGAATACTTTCAGGTCACAAGTATATTGCACCCCTTGGTTGTTTTTTCAGTCCGATGAGCCAAGTGATTCTGCATCAGTATTCTTTTCTTTCCTTCCAACAATGTGTTTAAACATGCATTTACCTGTAAGCACATTATGGAGCTTATTAAGCTTAAGCAAATGTTTATGTATCGAAATTTGGACCAGAACCAATTTTACAAATAACTTTGTTATGTGAAATACACAGCATTTCCTCCAGGCAAAGAGAGGACTTGTTCATAAAGATCTGCTTTCATCAAGGTTTTGGATTATCTCTCTCAAACCTTCATAAAATTAAAGTTTGTTTGCACATTTTAGAGGTTCAATTATTAATTAAGACATCAAGATTATAAAGAGTGAATACATTTGTTTCTGGAAGGGGTCAGACGTAGCTGCAAGTGCTGGTGAAGTTGTCGAAGGTATTCCTAGGATGCTGGTTTAGGTGCCCATGGTTCTCCTTATATTTGCTGTTTGCTCTGCCTGGCTTCTCACCATGGTCCATGAGGAGGAGACAGCAGGAAACAGCCCACCCAAAGCCTCTAGCAATGCCACTGTCTCTCCACTGATAGCTCAGGTAACCCAGAGAAGTTTGTCAATCTGTGCTGTCCCTCCAATTCCCTCTGTTCCTGTCGTCCCACCACCTCAGCTGCATCATGCATCTTACTTTGGCATGAAACTGCAGCTCTGCTTTCTACAAGCTGCACCATGCACCAGTTTCCCAGCCCTGATTTCAGTTTCACTCCAGGGTTGAAATTCCACTGAAGAGCAGGGAATCCTACACAGGCTCAGCCCGGGGCAGTGATCACATCCACTGCATGTGGGCACAGCTCCTGTGTCAATACAAGGTCGGCTCATGCCACAGCCAGCTTCAGCACTTAATTACAGTAACGCTTTTGTCAATTACGGTAATAATTCACAAGATTTTTGAGTAGCTTCCACTCAAAGTGTTACTTCTAGCACCACTTACATCACCAATTCGCTTTGTCAAGAAGACCTAATTAATTTTTGGGATAACTGTCATGAAACATAAAGTTACAGGAAGGTTAAGTCAACATTGTTTCATTTAATACTCTGGTTGATTTGAATAATAATGTATTAATTGGATCTTAACCTAAAAACTCTAGACTAAGAAAAATAAAATGCTGGGAAAAAAATATCTGGATTTCTTAACGCACTGACTGCAGACCTTTTCTTTGAAATCTGAAATCTGCACTCTTTTATAAACTCCATTTGAAGACATTTCCAACTTTATAGCTTGGACAAGCTTATTAAAAATGAAAATAATATTCCAAAATTATATTATACATCTGAGCTTTGTATGAAAAAAATCCTCAACATTTATTCTGGGAGTTTTTCTCAAGCTGAAAAAACTCCTTAATCATATTTTTAGCCCCCAAAGCCTCTGGGTCAATAATAACTTTATAATTGAGCACATGCCTAATTTTAAGTGCACTTCATTAGCTGTGGCCCTAAAGGGACTATTTGTGAGATTACCATTAAATATTATTTACTTGTATGTTCCTGAGGAGTCATACGTCAGACTAAAGAGCCACAGGCATGGATCAGGGCTCCAGCACTGTACAGGTGCTACAAAAATACCAGAATGAGGCTTTTCCTTCTGCTTGAGTCCTTTGACAAACAGCAACCTTGACAATAAGTTCCAGCTGGGTTGGCCAAGGAATGTGAGTTCTGTCTGGTGAAAATATTTGAGGTTTTACATTCTACATTTTTTCCACATTAAAAAAGAAGCCCTCTTTCCAAGGAGTTTGTTAAAAGAGACTGAGAGCTGCCATATAAAGTCTGGTGACTGTGTCACACACTTTGTCAAAGTCTCCAAATCATAGAGAGAGCTGGCAGTGAAGGTTGATTCCTTAATCTGAGAATTTTCTTAATCTTTTGTCTGAAAGTTTATGCTAGACTTGTGGACATTTTTCTATGAAAATTTTCACTACCATTAATACACTTAGCTTTAGCATCAACCAGTTCCTTGAACATCTGTGTCCAGAAATACTTTGAACCTAAAGGTTTCTGTTTCATTGGTATCATTTTTATAAACTTCTTTTCCATGACAGTTTTAAAACTGACTAGGAAGCCTTATGATTTAGCAAGAACTATGACATCTACAAAGAAGAATAAGGACAGATTCTAGTTCTCCTGCTTTTGTGGGGAATTTATTCCCATTTCTGTGACACACACACCCAAACACCCCCCTCAAATAGTTTACTGAAAAAACCCATCAACCTTACAAATTCCACTTTTCTTTTCAGGTTTTCCAGACATATGGATAGGGACTGTTGCCCTTTGCCTCAGGAAGGAGGTGTAGTTAAAAAAAAAAAGAAAAATGAGGGTTCCTCAGATGTCTGTCAGGGAGCTGGAAACAACAAGCCCTCCCAACCCAAAGGGGAGAGCAGGCCAGCTGTTCCCAGCTCCACAAGCTGAGAACTGATTTGGAAAGTGTTCTGCTCTCTGTAGAGGCTTCCTAGGCTTTCATCTTCAGAGACCTGAGTTAAATTGCAGCTTAGCTCATAAGAAAATGAATGTGGTGGTTTCAAAGTCCCCAGCAGATGTTTGGGAAAGCACAAAACTACAGAATGGCTGGAGATTCGAGGTAACAGTGGAGCTTCTATGGTTAATTCAAAGGCAAAGAGAATCAGAGGTCTGGAATCACACCCAGGAAAACTTCCTCAACTAATTTACTGAAGCAAAGGATTATTTTAGTGTCTCAGAAGAATGTTCCTTGCAATACCAAAACTCTTCCTCTGAGATTCCTTATAGGTGAGGCAATTCTCGCCACAAATGGAAAGTCTTCATGTATCTTTTTGGCAAACAATCTCTAAATGACAAGCAAAATAAAGCATCTTAAATTAGAGGGGGGTCTGATTTTTTAAGGTTATGCGCTCTGTGATACATTCATCAAAACCAGAGAAATTTTTATTTACTAGCCATCTGTTGGTTATACAAAATGGAAGAAAGTGGGTTGTAGAAAGAGCCTGATCTTTGGAAATTGAGGTACGAATTTGAGTTTCAGCTTCATGATTTAAAAATGGTTTCAATTCCTTAAAAAAATTCTTTGCAGATGTGGCTGTACAGGTAAAGAAGAGGTATGACTTTTTCTTTATGTATTTGAGTTGATAGTTACAGAATGACTATATACTATGGCTATAGAATGACTATATACTCACAACAATTACTGTATACTCAAAAGATGACAAGAATATCAGAAAAGTAAATTTAATTATTCTACTCAAAATCCGTTACATCATTGCCACATATTTTACTTTAGATTTGAGACTGAATTTCTTCTTACACCAAACCCAGAAACTGAGATTTTAAAAAACCTTACTTTTTCAACATATAATGGCTGATATCTATTTGCTCTAGGAAACTTTCTTCATTGTCATGTATATGTGGAACACATTTTCTTGGATTAGTGTCCCTCTGTCTCTCCTCTAAAGAGAGAGGCCTGTTTATTTTACTCCATGTTGTAAAGTGAGTAACTTTTCTTCATAGATCCACAGTACACTGAAGTATTATTTTAATGCCATCCATATGTAATTTATTCATTTAATGGAAATACAAAAGATAATCATTAACACTCATTTGTGAA